CTTAATCCAATATAATATTCCAAGTTCCAATTTTACTCAAAAATCAGCTCATGAATGCACTTAATACTAAAACCAACCCTTCAAATACTAATACTAATACTAAATTAAATATTAAAATAAATTTAAAGCTTCTGGTGGGTCTATAAATAGCGAGCGAGAAATTGACGAACAGGAGGCAGGCCAGGGGATCGGAGCGGAGCAGATCAGAATCAGAAAGAAAAGAGTGAGTTTGAAAATGGAGTTGGGGTGGGGTGTGTTATTGGCTGGGGTTTTGGGTTTAAGCAGCTTTTGGTGGGTGCTTGGGAGGGTGAATTGTTGGTACTATGAGATACTGAAGCTTGGTGATAAGAAAAGACTGAGTTTGCCTCCAGGTGATTTAGGTTGGCCTTTCATTGGCCACATGTGGTCTTTCCTAAGAGCTTTCAAGTCCAACAACCCGGATTCCTTCATCGCCTCATTTGTTTCCAAGTATGTATAGTACTCTGATCTGATAGATATATCTCGATCTTTAATTTCTCTATCAATCTCATATATATATCTATACATGTATATAGATATGGAGCAACTGGGATGTACAAGACCTTCATGTTTGGTAGCCCAAGTATCATCGTTACAACACCTGAGGCCTGCCGAAGAGTTCTATCAGATGATGAATTCCAGCCTGGGTGGCCTGAATCCACCAATGTACTCATGGGCAGAAAGTCTTTCATTGGCATTTCTGTGGAAGAGCACAAGCGTTTGCGGAAGCTGACAGCCGCCCCCGTGAATGGGCACGAAGCATTGTCTTTTTACATTACCTACATTGAAAAAAGTGTGAAGATAGCACTCGAGAAATGGGCTTCCATGGGAGAAATAGAGTTCTTGACACAGATGCGGAAGCTCACCTTTACCATAATTATGTACATTTTCTTGAGCTCAGAGAGTGAACAGGTCACGGAGGCTTTGGAGAGGGAATACACAACTCTCAACTATGGGGTTAGAGCTCTGGCAATTAATCTTCCAGGATTTGCTTACTATAATAGTCTCAAGGTAATTATATATTGTTCAATCCATTTTATTTTGATGAAAATTAAAGATTTGATTTTGATGAATAATGTATGACTGTCTGTCAGGCGCGAAAAAGACTCGTGGCTATTTTTCAATCCGTAGTGGATGAAAGAAGAGAGTTGAGAAGGAAGAACCCTAAAGCTAGTCTTCTTGAGAATGGAAAGAAAGACATGATGGATAGACTAATGGATGTTAAAGATGAGAATGGGAGAGAGCTGGATGATGAGGAAATAATTGATGTTATGCTCATGTACTTAAATGCTGGACATGAATCATCAGGCCATATCACAATGTGGGCTACTGTGTTTCTGCAGAGCCACCCTGAGGCCTTCAAAAAAGCCAGGGTTCGTTTGTTACTTTATTTTTTTAAAATTTTTATTTTTATTTGGACAATATAATCATTTCTTTTCTTTTCTTCCAAACATAAATTAATTTCTCATAATATCATATATATAATGCTCATGCAGGCAGAGCAAGAGGAAATTAGGCGAAATATGCCTCCTGATCAGAAGAGTTTGACACTCAAAGAGGTCCGACAGATGGAGTATTTGTCTAAGGTCAATATCCGCCCTTTATCCTTTCTCATGCATATATGCTATTATTATTTTATTATATTATATTGCTCATCCAAATATATATGCTATATATGCTTGCACCTACACATAATAATCTTTATTTGTTTTGAAATTAACTAAGGTGGTTGATGAAACACTTCGTCTAGTAACCTTCTCTCTCATGGTGTTTCGCGTGGCAAATAAGGATGTCAATATTTTGGGATATACAATTCCAGCGGGATGGAAAGTTTTGACGTGGTTTAGAGGTCCTCACTATGATGAGGAGCTATATGAGGACCCATTTGCATTCAAACCTTCTAGATGGGATGTAAGTTCAATTCCATCAATTTGTTTAGCAATCCATCTTTTCTTTTCCACATTTTTTTTATTATTATTGGAAATGTATATATATATGACTGACACAATGATTGAAATTGGTGCAGGATTTTACACCAAAAGCAGGAGCTTTTCTTCCATTTGGAGCGGGAAGCAGACTCTGCCCAGGAAACGACCTTGCCAAGCTCGAAATCTCTATTTTTCTTCATCATTTTCTATTGGGTTATGAGTGAGTTTAATTTAGTTAATACTTTAATTTGAAGTTATGATTGGTCTTTGGAAATTTTGCACTGCTGACTGGGTTACGTTGTTGGTTTTATTTAATTTGTAGGCTGCAGAGGAAAAATCCTGACTCCCCACTCATGTATTTACCACACACCAGGCCTAAAGACAACTGTTTGGGAAGAATTGTAAGAACATCATCTTCAACCATCAAGATAACAAATTAAACAACTTCAGCTCGTAGCTGCATGCTCTATTGTCTCGATCCATCTCTTCAAAATTAATCTATGTTATCCTTTGTTTTCACTTTTAGTTTCTTATTAATAAAAAGTACGCTAGGGTTGGGATGATTTCTTAACCCCACAAATATAATGATGACGTACTATCTCTTCACGTTTCATTTCATTTCATCAACTATTATATTTGCAAGTTCAATGGACAGGTTAATCTATCAATTCAACAAGCTCAAATCTTCAAATGTTTCAACAATTTGGATTGGAGCTCAAATGGACAATCTCCATTTCTACTTATATTTGTGTTTATAATCTTACTAATGGCACAGTCCAAAATCAGGCCGTGCCCAACATACTTTTTTGACCAATTATCTTATTAATTAAGGCGTTAAAAATTTTACAAAATCATGTGTCATCTAAAATAATATAATTCCACTTAAACCTTTAGATGTGTATAAAAAAATTGGTTAATAAACTAACACAATATATAATGACATGAACAATACACGACTAAGAACAAATTCATTAAGGTTAATAAGTTAAGAATTCTAAAACACAAATACAAACATGATTTTGAAAGAAGCTGAATGGGTTTGTTAAAATACTATGTTCAGATTTAAAAAAAAAAAAAAAAAAAAAAAACTGATTTCCTTTTTCCAATATATTGTTTCTATAATTATGTGAGGAACTCATAGTAATTATTTAGTAAACATGCAGTAGTGACTTAATGAACTTAAAAATACTAATTTAATGTACCTAAAATAGTGAGTTGATATCCTAGTAAGTTGATTCACTTGTAGTTGTAATTTAATGAACATTATGCATTATTTAGTTTGAAAATTTTGGAGAGAAGTTTGAAAATTTTTTGTCACCATCTGGAAGTTGTAAGGGCTTTTTTGCAGCTTCTGCAAGTTGAAGGGAGGCCTTATTTTGTGGTGGTGCCTGGGAGGGATTGTGTGTTGAAAGAAAAATGAGAGTGGGGTGTTGTGGTAGTAAGAAGAAAGTTGAAAAAAGAAGAGAGAATGGGGAAGGTGAGGGTGATTTGCAGAGCTATATATATTGCAGGCTTCTTGTCCAGAATATGGACAGGATGCTTGTTTTCTTAATTAACCTTTTTTGATTTGAGGCAGAAGCAGAAAAATTGGGTGGTGGCATGCATGGTGCAGCAGTGGAAGTGCCCATATATCTATTTGAACTTAAGAAAGGGGAAAAGATTGAATCTGAGCAAAAGAGGAGGAGAAAAGGAAAAAAGAAAATGAGAAAAAGAAACAAGGGGTGAGAAAAGATGTTAGGGAGCCTTGGTACCATTATATTGCTTAGGGCATGAATATCAAAGACTCTCTTTGGCAAAAATGTAGAGATCTATACAAAGGGGGTTATTTGTGCCCTAAGGGTGGGGGAGAAGTGCGCAACGACGCCATTTGACAAAACGTGGTGTTTCGTGTATTTTCGAAAAACCAACTTGTGCGTTAAAGATGTGGGATGAATCCCGGATTTTTATCGTTCTCTATGGACGACAAATTGGAGTCATCAAACGATAGCAACATTGAGAAAGAGGTGTGTGTGTGTGATTGAGCAAGTGTCACGCATTTTGAGTTTTAGGTTGTAACAAAGAGTAAACAACAATCATTTGGAGCGGGAAGCAGACTGTGCCCAGGAAACGACCTTGCCAAACTCGAAATCTCCATTTTTCTTCACCATTTTCTATTGGGTTACGAGTGAGCTGAGTTTAATTTAATTAATACATTTGCTTGCTTTGAAGGTTTCTGGGCTGACAGGGCTACGTTGTTGGTTTTATTTAATTTGCAGGCTGCGGCAGAAAAATCCTGACTGCCCACTCATGGATTTACCACACACCAGGCCTAATGACAACTGCCTGGGAAGAATTGTAAGAATGTCATCATGGACTGTCAAGACAATAAATTAAACAACCTCAGCTCGTAGTTGCATGCTCTATTGTCTCGATCTCTTCAAAATTAATTTATGGAGTTAATACCATCTAAGGTCCTTCGAGTATAGTGATTTTGCCACGTTTAGTCCTAAACTTTCAAATTGACCATTTGTGGTCCTTCGACTTTCAAATTTAACCATTCGTGGTCCAAGTTAACCACCCATGGTCCTTCAAGTTTCGAAATTTAACCAGTAGTGGTCCTCATGAAAGGACCATGGTTGGTTAAAATTTAATAGTTGAAGGACCATGGGTGGTTAACTAGGACCACGAATGGTAAAGTTTGAAAGTCGAAGGACCACATATGGTCAATTTGAAAGTTTAGGGCTAAACATGGCAAAATCACTATACTCGGAGGACCTCAGATGGTATTAACTCTTAATCTATGTTATTCTTTGTTTTTACTTTCAGTTTCCTATCAATAAAAAGTTAGTGTTGGGATGATTTCTTAACCCCACAAATATAATGATGACGTACTATCTCTTCACATTTCATTTCATTTCATCAAGTATTATATTTGCAAGTTCAATGGACAGGTTGATCAATTCAACCAACTCAAATGTTCAAATGTATTCAACAATTTCGGTTGGTAGCACACTCCAAAATCAGGGCCCAACATATTGCATGGACCAATTATCTTTTTAATTAAGCCATAGAAAATTTTACAAAACCATGTGACATCTAAAATACAAGTCCACTTAAACCTATAAATTTTTGTAAACAAATTGGATAGTGAAATAACCCCATAATGACATGAACAATATAAGACTAAACATGAATACATTTAAGTTAATAAGTTAATAATTCTAAAACACAAATGATTTTGAAACAAGCTGTATTTTTAAAACCAACCTATACTGATTTTCTTTTTAGAATATAGTGTTACAATAAATTTGTGATGGACTTATATTATCGACTTAATGGAACTATAGTAATTATTTAATAAACATACAGTAGTGATTTAATCAACTTACAACAGTAATTTAATGTACTTGAAACTGTGAGTTGATAACCTACTTGTAGTTGTAATTTAATGAACATGCATTATCAAATAATATAACTGATATAACAGATGTTGTAAGTAAAAGAAAAAAAAAAAAAAAAAAAAAAAAAAAAAACTTCAGAAGCTTTTTTTTTTTTTTTTTTTTTTTTTGTGATAGTGTTGATATAGATTCACAATATAACAATTTTCTAAACTCTAAAGGAAAGTAAAATTAACATAATGGTGCTATATATGTGCTAAGAAATTTAAAAGTCTAATTTAATTAACTTTTTAAATTAAACATGTCAATATTTAAATTAATTGATAATTCTAAAAGTTTAATTATTATACTATGTTATTAAAAGTATTTATTACATAAAAAATTTCACTATTGCATAACATATAAAAGATTAAATAACATAATCAAATAAAAAATTGAAAAATTAAAATAAAAGAAAAAACATTTGAATTGCATAAGGCAACAAATTCGTGTTATTTTAAAAAAACAAATATAAATATAAAATAATTTTGAGTTGGTTGTCGAAGCAAAACACACCCGCTGAGCATAGGCATGTTACAACACACCTTTTTTTTGGGTTCTTCTCAGAAAAGCCATCTTGTAGGTAAAAAAATATTGCAAACAATTCTACCTCCAATTATTATTTAACGACATGCAAGAGGGCTTATCACTAAGAAACGGGATAGATGTAACACTCGACCGGGCAAGATCGTGCACATAAGGCGGATATAACTCTAACAAACAAAACCTCAAATAGCCGGCCAGGAGTTTTTTATTTTTTATTTTTCGATCAGCAAGAGGTCTCATCACTGAGAAGTAGGGTGGATATGTTCATGAATGCGAAGCGGGATAGATGAAATCGGTCTTGCGTTTCATTTATATACGATGTTGGTTATTTGGAATAACCGATGTCGTATCAGTATTATTATTATTTTTAAAGTAACAACAACTGGTTTACGTATAAAACCAACATCGTTTGATAATTTTTTTTTAATAAAGATATACGACTCTAATTTTTTCTAAAAAACGGCGTCGTATATAATTTTTAAAAAATTAAAAACAAAAAGATACAAATTCACATCGTATTTTTTTTTATTAAATGTTATGATGTCTTTTTTTTTTTCTTAATGACATACGTCGTCTATTTCCTACCATGCAATATCACATGATCGACCACGCAATATAACCAATGTTGTAATGCTAACAGAACTTGAAAGGAAAATAATAATAATATCTAAAAGTAATTAAGTGTTAATAATAATAATAATAATAATAATAATAATAATAATAATAATAATAATAATAATAATAATAATAATAATATTAACGTAAGAATTATAACATAGAATAAAACGTAATAATTAATATATATATATATATATATATATATATATATATATATATATATATATATATATAAAGGTTCCCGTGCGGATGTGCGGTGGATTAATGTGCGTGAGTGTTGTGCTTAATATGCCTGAGATTTGTACTTAATGTGCGCGAATGTGTAAAATGCAGCAGAAAATATTGATGTTAGCTTCTTCCCCATCCCCAGTAGCCATTTGCCCCCTCCCTGATGATGATGATGCGGTGGCGAGCTATGGTGGTTAAGAATTATGGGAATAATACAACAGAAATCCACACTTAGCTACTGTGCAAATTTTACTGTGCGTGCGTCATTTATATAAACATTCAACTGCATTGAAGGTAGCTGATAATCCATAATCCATGGCCAAATTGAAGGAAGAAGTAACAAGAAGCTTGGGTGTTAATGTGCGTGAGTTTCTGTTCTGCTTCCTTCTGAGCTCGTAATTCTGAAATACGCACGCACATTAAGCACAAATCTCACGCACATTAAACACAATACTCAGGCACATTAAGTACAAAACTCACGCATATTAACATGACGCACATTAAGTACAAATCTCAGGCACATTGAGTACAAATCTCACGCACATTAAGTATAACCCTCACACACATTAATCCACCGCACATCCGCACGGGAAGCCACAAATGCACCTGATCCCTTCCCTATATATATATATATATATATATATATATATATATATATATATATATATATATATATATATATATATATATATATATATATATTTCAAGTATAATAAAAACCCTATGTAATAATGTAATAATAAATAATAAAATAAAATTACAACAAGGAATTATGTAGCCGGTTCAGCCGTTGCATGGAAATTCTCTAAGCAAACTGTGATAGCTAGATCTACGATGGACTCTGAACTGATAGCCTTAGATAAAGGTTGTGAAGAGGCTAAATGACTATGCCATTTTCTAGAGGATATTTCTAATTGGGAAATACCCATACCTCCAATATGTGTGCATTGCGATAGTCAAGCCACAATTGGGAGAGTACAGACTCGTATATATAATGGTAAGTCTAGACACATGCGTCGTAGACACAATACCATTAGACAACTTCTCAAAACTGGTGTTGTCTCGATTGACTACGTGAAGTCAAAAGACAATATAGCGGATTCGCTAACCAAAGGGTTAGGAAAAGAAGTTGTGGAGAAGCTGACACGAGGAATGAGTCTAAAGCCCTTAAACTAAAAAGATCTATAGTGGATACCCAACCTAGCTGTCACCTAGGTTCAATGGGACAACAAAATTATGGAACGGAGAGTGTCACGGTTGACATGTGTGAGTATGCGCGATACTCGGAAAAGAATCACATATGTGAGAGAGAAGTGTGGGTCGCTTCAGATGAGAATTTACGGGCTAAATTATTTAGAAACTCTTTTAGAACCAGTAACGGTGACCCACGACCAAAACAGGCACAGTTATGAGAACAGAGCATGGTTGGGAGGTTCCTGTATGAGTTATGTCATCGTCTACACAAACGACAGTCAGTTTAAAGACATCGCGTTCTACCGTACAGCCAGTAGAGTAAACATATCTTTACAAGGGAAGGTTCAAAGGGTGACTCCTACCTATCCTACGCAGGGACTGACCGTTGAACATAGTTGTTTCCGATTTTAAAATACCCTGAAATCAATTTTCATTCATGTGGGGGATTATTGGAAAAAAAAATAGCATAAATTGGCATAAAATGACATTTTAAGTAGTTATTTTGTGGTACAAATATCAGTGGGGTCCACTTCCGATTTGGGTCGGGTCAAAGTGGATTCGGATTCTTCGTAGTGAGACGAAGAGATTGATATATTGTACGCTCAAAACGGATAATGAGTGAATGAGATATTGATTCTCAAAGTAGACCCATTTGAGTTGGAAAATGAAGGGAAAAAGTGAAGCATTTGTCGCACATTGGTTTGGGAAGTGGATTTGCACCACTATTTATACAAGAGCTCTTTTAAGGCTTATTGAATTGTATAGCATAGAGGTTTTTTCTCGTGCGTAGGGGGAAGGGGTGGGGAACGGTACAGACTTGTACCGCCGTTACCGTGTCATTTTAGGTTAATTCCAATTTTGAATTTTTAAGAAGAACAAGAAGAACAAAAACACACATAACAAAATAATATTTTCAGCTCCAAAATCTCTGCTTCTACTCCTTTCTTAGCCTACTGTGTTCTAAGTTTTGCTCTAGTTCGCCGGGTTCTTTGTTTGAGTGCTCAAACACTGAATCGTAGCACGTTTTATCCTGGAAAACCTAGGCTACAAGGCTCTTAGCACTTGTGGGAGGTAGCAAATAAGATTTTAAGGAATGAGTGGTCGCTCGACTCATGCTAAAAACCTACACCAAACACAAGTCATATCTCTTCACCCATTCCTTCCCTTTTCTTCCATAAAATAATAATCTTTCCATAGGATTATTATTTGAATTTTACCAATCTCGCTATTTCCGTCCAACCTTTCCGTCCAACTGTAAATTGGTCGGTATTTTAATAAAAATTTCAACTTCCTCTCGTAAGGGTTGGACGAAAAATTGGTTGGACATTTGAATGATGTCCATCAAGCGACAAGCTCTTGAGCACGCTCACAGCCGCCTCTCCGCCACTCACAGCCGCCTCTTTGCTTCTCACCCTCTGACCCTCTCGGCCTCTCCGTCTCTTCGCCTCTCCGGTAAGTCCTTATAACCTCGATCATCTACTCATTCTCATAGTCTCAAGTTCAACCGCTCATTCTTTAACCTCTCTAGCTCTCCACATAGGAAACCCTAGATCTACCTTCCAGACTTTATGTTGGTCTGGTGACCGTCTTTGGCCATGAAAATGTAACAGGTAATTTACTGTCATTTTAGTTATTTATGATTTATGATATATTGTTCTTAAAAATCTTGAATTTTATGGATTTATGATCTTAATAATATATGTGAATATACTGTCATATTGTTGGATATTCTTGAAGTTTATGAATAATGAATTTGAGAACCTGTGCAATTTGAAAGGAATGCTAAGAATGTAATTAGTTTTCTTTTTTATTCTAAATTATGTAATTTAATTTCAATAAGACTAAAATTTAACTTCAATTATTCCCCATGCTTCAGTCTGGTGATCTAGTCAGTACATATTATTGTATTAGTGTATTGGGAGCTATATGTTGTTTGTGTGTAGGGGTCCGTTTTGTCCCCTTTAAAAAGGGAATAGAGTTGTATTAATACTGATAGTGTTTCATTTTCTAAAGAATAAGCTTCAGGATCTTGCTGGACAGCATTCAAATGTGCTCAAGAGCTTGTCGCCTGATGTCAGATCAGAAAGCGTGTTGAGTTCCTCAGGGAAATTCAGGTATGTGAATCTTGTACTAGTGTCTCATATTTTTTAAATGCTTGTTTGTTCTACTAAACTCCAATTCTATGTGGACATCAATGAAAGATATCTTCCTCAGGGAGATATGGTATTAGTTAAAGATTAAATACCTTTAAGTTGCTTTCAAAAAAAAAAAAAAAAATACCTTTAAGTTTTAATGAATGAACCAGTTTATTTTATATGATTTATTTTTTTATAAGTAAATCTGAGAAGAAATTTCTCTATGCAACTTGAATGAATCAGTTTAAATACCCTTGGTGGATTTTGGTACTTTTTTTTGGTGCTCAATTGTGCAGACTCAACAGGATGAATTGGAGGCAAAGTTTCTTGAATTGATATTTAATAAAGAATAATGAAGTGTTAGCTAAAGAGGTTAGATGTTGCATGAATGCTCTCTTTGTTGACTTTCTACATTCTTTATAACCTGTTCGATCATTTGTATTTTATTTTCTCTAGGCCTTCTTATAGATGTTAGATTACTAAGCGTGATGAAGGAGCTCTGGTTTACACGAATGTACAACCAAACTAAATAATCAAGAGCATGGTTTAACTTTCTATTTCTAGGCTCTATCTTTTTTCAATCTTGCTCTTTATTTTCCATTATTTTCCCCTTTTCTATGTTTTTTTTTTTTAATCTTCTGTTGTCTCTTTTAAAAAAAGAATAAACTCCAGCAGTCCAGCTTACAGTGGCAAGTTGGCACATCCCTCTTTTAATTTATCTTTTTGGTATTGGAATAATTGATCTGAATTGATATTTAAACTGTCGGACTATTCCATCCTGTCTATTAATTTTCTAATAAGTAAGTGATGAGCTTCGTAATGAAACTTTGCAGCTTGCTAGTAATAAGTTCCGGATAGTTTGTTTCTTTTAAAAATGGTATATACAGATGCATTTTAAACTCTCAACTTGTACAAGGGAAAATCTAGAAAAAAAAAAAAAAAGGATCATATTGGAGCTTAGAAATCAGGTTAAAAATTTGTAGTAAAGGTATACTAGACAAAGTTTTAACATTAAAGCATTGATTGTAGATTACTTTTGTGTTGTGTGGATTACAGTGCAGAATAATTCGAACACCCCTACTTAAACATAAAGGCAATCCTTTTCTAGTCATTTTGTAAAATGCATAGGTATCTAAAATAGTTCCCTCAAGAATACCATGAGTTTGAAAGGTGACTGATTTTGGTCAGAACATGAATATCCCTAACATGTATGGGTGCTTTTGATGGATGGCTGTGCATTTCAAGTTTAGTTGATGAAATGTTTTATCTCAGGTTGCTTATGATGATTTTGTTGCTGCTGGATCATTTGCAGCTGCAAGAGAGAAAGGGCTTATAAGTTTGTTTTTCCAAGTGCTGTTTATGTTTTCTGTATGGTTTTTGCATTTTGAAATTTATCACGGTCCAATTTTGGTGAAGGTCTACACTTGATCAATGTCATTGAAGAAGAAGGATGTGGATGCTGCATTGATCAAAGCCATTGAAGTAGTGTCGAATTTGAAGGTTGAAGTAGTGTCAGATTTGAAGACTTATTTGGGTGCAGCAAGCATACTTAAGTAGTATCAATTAAGTAGTATATATTTTCATGACTTTTTTTTTATGAACATGACCATAATTTTTGTTGTAAATAATTTTGATGTTTAAATATATTTTCAATTTGAAATTTAGTGTGTCAATTGATTTGTTGATGACATATAATTTAAATACAACAGGTATAAATAACATTATGATAATATAAAAGTAATAAAAACATTCCATATGATTTAAGATTTTCCTACCAACAGTTGGAAGGAAAATAGCAAAATATAATATGTGAGTTTTTTGTCCAACATTAGTCGAAAATTCAGACCAACGCACATAGTTGGACGGCATTTCCGACCAATGCACGTAGTTGGACGGAAATTTTCACGTTTTAAAAATGGTGGGTTACTCGCCGGAATTTCCGTCCAATTTTTATTCGTTGGACGCTATTTCTGACCACAAATCGTAATTGGACGGAATTTCTCACGAAAATTTTTCCGAACGTTCCTTTTAGTTAGTATGTTAGACGGAAACGTCATTTCCAACCAATATATCCCGTTTTCCAGTAATGGATCACGATTCCGAAATTCTAACCACCACCAATAGTTGAAAATTTAAAAATAAAAAATTAACCATGGTGAGAAAATATCTTATTCACACCATATGATAACAATATTTACTCAAATTAAAGTGGTACAATAACCTCCATACAAAATTACAAGATATGATCTTGCAAAAAACTAGAGATTTCAAAGGTAAAGGAGGCAGGAGATGGAGATGTTGAACCTGGGCAATTGGAAGGGTATAAAATTCACGATCCAAAATACATCAGAGAATGCAGTGTTTGTTCATTTAGAAGAAGAAGAAGCCAATTCATTTGGAAAGCAGGCGGGCCTTCTATCTGTTTGGCCTAAGAATTTGAAAGGAGCAAATTAGATCTTCATCAACACTCATCATTGCACCAGCATTATCAAATTCGCCACAGTAGTTGGGAGCAGAAAATATTGTTACTAGCTGCCTATCAGCAAAAAATTCATACCCATCTTCCACAACCTGGACAAAAATAAATTAAACGCCATTCAGATCAGTTTATAATTAATTACGAAAATGATGCGAGTTTGGGCAGTCAATTCTGGACCTCCATATAGCATGCACAACATGAAGACTCGAAATAATGAAGTTCTTAGGAGATTTAAGGACTTATTTCTCCCAAAAGATTGAGCAGGAGACTCCAGCTAGCTTCCAAGACTATTATCCTAATTTCCATAGTTGTCATGGACTCGCAAGGTTTTTGCATGCCTAAAAATTTGAATATGGTTTTTCAATAAATGGGGGGAGTGGCTTTTTTGTTTTTTGTCATTACATAAGGAGATGATTTTTGTCTCCATACTGGGTGTGTGTGCGCGCTCCTTGATCGCTTGAGAGGCAAAACTAGCGCCAGCCTGGCGTGTGCACTCCACACGTTAATCCGAAGCTTTTTTTTTTTTTTTTTTAAGATTTTGTTTTGCTTTTTTCCCCTTTTCTCCTTTCATCACATTTTTTTTTTCTTTTCTGGTCATACCTGCCAAAACTTTTCAAAATCTATTCATATTGAGGATACTTTAAGAAAACCTTGCCCACAAAGACAAAAAATTTTGTCCCAGCGCACTACACCTCGACTCGATAGGGCGGCAGAGAAATAAATCACAATGACTCCGGGCTGTTGGCCGGGGTAGAAGCTCGTAAAGGGCCAAGTCTAGCAATAGGTGACTATGAAATTGTTGGGTGGATATCAAGTCTAGCAGTTAGTAGCTAAGGAGATTGTTGGAGAGGCTGGTAAAGGGCCAAATCAGACACCCTGCCTCTAGAAAATGTGGTGGTCATATAATGAAAATAAAGTTGCTAATTCGTTAACTTTTGGCACAATGACGGTCCAATAGAAAGGACAAAATTATGCACGTTGATCTGATCTCTTACCTGGTGTGCACGACACACAAGGTCCATGTCATGGCGCATCAAGAATTCTGCAACCTTATCCGGACCAAAAGTGTATGAAACCCCCCTATCATTCATTCCCCAACCTCTAACTTCCCTACTAGGATCCGACCAAAGCAAATCAGAAAGCAAACCGGAGTCTGGAACATCTGTGGGACGAGGTAACTTCCTAATCTGATCTAAATTTCCCAGATCCGGGGAAAGACCACCATGCATACATAGTATCTTGTCGTCTATCACAGCAGCCACAGGGAGACAATTGAAGCAATCAGTAAATGTTTTCCACAGCTTCACGTTAAACCTGCTCTTACATTCATCGTAGAACCCATATATCCTGTTGATCGAACCACATTCATGGTTCCCTCTTAGAAGGAACAAGTTTTCTGGGTATTTGATCTTGTATGCAAGTAAAAGGCATATTGTTTCCAAACTCTGCTTACCACGGTCCACATAGTCCCCTAAGAACAAATAATTGGCCTCGGGGGGGAACCCTCCATACGCAAAAAGCCTCAACAGATCTCCGTATTGCCCATGAATGTCACCTGCAATAACACAACTCCATCATAACCAAATTTTGAGCACTAAACCACTAATACTTGCACGCGCGCGGATAGATGACAATGGGTCGGGGTGGATTGAGAAGAGCTTTATCTACCATTCTACTCACTTTATACTTTATTCATTCATCTCGACTCGCAACTGGTGTACTTTTTCAAAGCTCGCTCGTACTCACAGGATGTAGCTAGGTACCTACTCTAGTCTTATTATTTTATTAAAAATTTTCAAATAATAATAATAATATTTAAATTATTTATGAATAATAAAATTCTCTATTATACTAAAATATAAAGGGGTGTTTGGCAAATAGCTATTAGCTGGTTGTAGAAAGATGTTTGATGAATTAGTTGTTAGCTGATGGCTAATTATATGTAAAATTACCTTTAAGGGTATAATTTATTTTTTCAAAAAGCTGATAAAAAAAAAAAAAACTTCTTTGAGCAACTTTTAAAATTTTATCGTTTCGAAGCAATAAGCTGTTACAAAAACCTGATCAACCAAACACTCATATTGGGGGTATTTGGTAAATAGCTGTTAGCTGATTGGGTTAGTGGGTTTGACTAGCTAATAGCATTATAGAAAAATGTTTGGTAAATTGGCTATTAGCTTATAGCTGATAAGCTGATTACATGCAAAATGACTTTCTCAAAAGTTGATCGAAAAATCTACCTTGAATTTTAACGTTTTGGAGCAATAAACTGTTACAAAAAACTAATTAATCAAACACTTATATTGGTTATTTAACTAAGTCAAATAGCTCATAATGGTCAAATAAGCCATAATTGGTTGATAAGTTAACTAATTTGTTACCAAACAGGTGCATTGGCTGTTTAACCAAATTAAACAGCTAATAGTGGTCAAACAAAT